GAAATCTCAGCGTAGTTTTAATTTGCATTTCTCTAATTGCTAACAATGTTGAACGTTTTAAAATTTATTTGTTGACTGTTCATGTTTCTTCTTTTGAGATATGTCTGTTTACTTCCTTTGCCCATTTATGGATTTTTTTTTTTGTGTTAAGTTTTTGAATTCGTTGTATATCCTGGAAATTAACACCTACCTGAGGTGCAGGCGGCAAAGATTTTCTCCTATTCTGTAGGTTCTCTCTCCATGCTCTTGATTGTTTCCTTTGCTGTGAAGAAGCCTTTTATTTTGATGCCAACCCATTTGTTGATTTTTGATTTTACTTCTTGTGCTTTAAGAGTCTTGTTGAGAAGTTGGTTCCTGAGCTCACATCATGGACTGTTGGACCTACATTTTCCCTAGTATGTGCAGGGTTATTAGTCTAATTCCTAGGTCTTGAGTTTTGTGCAGGGTGAGAGATAGGGGTTAAGTTTCATTCTACTACATATGGATTTCCAGTTTTCCCAGCACCATCTGTTGAATATGCTATTTTTTTTCTCCAATGTGTGTTTTTGGAACCTGAGTCTAGTATGAGTTAACTGGATTTATGTGGGTTTGTCTTTAACTTGGGTTGTTCTGGTTAGATCAGAGATATTTGGCTTAGTGTTTTCATCACAAATTGTAATTGCTATAAAGCCACACACAATTTTTGAACTTTTAATTTTGCAATAAGTATTATGGCTAGAATTATTTACTGAAAATTTTAGTAAAATGTGTGAATGTTTGTTTCTTTATATATTAGCCTTACAGGAGTAGATGAATCTGAATAGATTTCTGTTGAAATCTTCCGTGTGAACATTGTTGTCGTTTTTGTACTGTTTAACCATGAAATAAAAACGATCTTTATGCATAGATCAGAATTTAAACATAAAGTTTTTTTTTTCCTTAAAAAAAAAAAAAAAAAGAGACACAAAGAGCATCTCCATGCCTGACTGGACCAGGTGCTGGTCCGGTGAGGGGTGAGGTCGCTGTTCTCATGCAGGTCATATTTTATTGCGTTGTCAACAACAAGTTCCTGACTTCACACTCACTTCAAGGGCTTCCCAGTAGCTGGCCAGTATTTTGACCATTCTGATGTCATCTCCTTGTCCTTTCCCCACAGTCACCTGCTGAGGATTTATATTCTTTAAATAGCCACAGGATGAACGGAGTTTCTCACTTTTGGGTTTCTGTGAAGTCCAGGCCAGCTGGCTACACCCACTGATTCTTTCCCCATCCAACTCTCTCCTCAGCTCTTCCAACATTTGTTGGTTGGTTCCTGAGTTTGGTGAAGGGAGACCAAGGACATGGAGGTGCCCTGAGCCGCAGGATCCTGTTGAACGTACAGCTTGTTCTGGATTCCTGCCACTAGAGGCTGACTCACCCCTTCTCTGTTGCAGGTCAGAGATGTCATCATGGCAGCTGGCATCGCAGGAGTGGGCTTGGCAGCCGTGGGCCTCATTGGAGTCATGTTTTCAAGAAACAAGAAACAGAAGCAATAAGTTGAAGCGACCGTCAGGAATGCCTTTATGCTCCAGAGGGTCTTGTTTTGCTAGAGAGTTTGGGGTTTGGTTTGTGGATTTCATTCTGACTTATAATAAGGCTTATTTTCACA